ACACACACACACGCACGCACGCACACACACACACACACACACACGTACATGGATAGATGAGTTCACACACTACCTGCACACACATTCGCTCACTCACATTCACACATAATGTTGGCTGATAGAGTACAGATATTATCTTATGTTATTGAAAAAGAGGTTTGAATTGGGGGAAAATAATCACAAATGGATTTAATATCTATCTTTATATATAGAAATATATCTATATCTTTATATATGGATATATATATATACACATTCAGATGTATTGGAGATAATTAGAGAAAATTTGGCCAACTGATTATCTTTAAGTTATGGCAATATGACATTATATAATTTCATATAATATAATGAACAGTTATAATAAAATATAAATGTGTGTGTGTGTGTGTACGTGTCATGCAAATATATATATATGTATGTATATGCATGACAGTGTTTGAATAAAAATTATACATTTTCTGTATGTGTGTGTGTGTGTGTTTTGGATTTGTTATTTTGAATTATGTTTTATTTTTATATTTTCCATTTAGAGAAAATTTGGCCAACTGATTATCTTTAAGTTATGGCAATATGACATTATATAATTTTAATTAATATAATGAACAGTTATAATAAAATATAAATGTGTGTGTGTGTGTGTACGTGTCATGCAAATATATATATATATATGTATGTATATGCATGACAGTGTTTGAATAAAAATGATAAATTTTCTGTATGTGTGTGTGTGTGTGTACTAGTTTTTGGATTTGTTATTTTGAATTATTTTTTATTTTTATATTTTCCATATTGATTTTAATTTTAGTTAGTTTTAGTGTGTGTTCTATGTTTTAGGAGCTGAATTAAAATGTGCAGGTGAGCAAAGGTCAGCCAAAACTGTAATTTGACCTCTGATCTCCGCACACAAACACACCCATGCACACGTTTGTTTTGTTCCACAGAAATGCTATTCATTGTTGAGTTTTTGTAGCACAACTGGACAATTTTGATGATTTGCTGTAGAAAATGTGAGGGTTTTTTGCACACGCAAAAGTCACTGCCATGGTTTCAAGATGTTGCTCTGAGGATTGCTAGCTAAATCTGAACTGAAACTACAATAAAAAGTATTCATTAATTACAATTAAATTAAAATTTAACTATTATTAATTGTTCAAATAATTTAGTTGTGCTTTTGCTGCTTTTTTTTTTTTTTTTTTTACTATATAGTTTTTACAATTTTTCATTTTTGTTTTGATTTGTTATTTTTGTATTTTTTATTTTAAGTAACAATTTATTTATATGCGTGTATGAATGCATTTTAAATATTGTACAGTGTACAGAATATTTTAATTTTAGTTAGTTTTAGTAATTTAGTTGTGCTTTTGCTGCTTTTTTTTTTTTTTTTTTTACTATATAGTTTTTACAATTTTTCATTTTTGTTTTGATTTGTTATTTTTGTATTTTTTATTTTAAGTAACAATTTATTTATATGTGTGTATGAATGCATTTTAAATATTGTACAGTGTACAGAATAGTGTGCTGAATATTATATATTAAATATTATAAATTATTATATGTATCATTAATCATTAATTCAATAATATATATTTTTTTATTTCATATGTGGATTTTGTGGATGTGGATTTTGTCCTGGTGTGTGTATTTGTATGTTATTATTGTGTCTTTGTTTGGACCAAGTGTGTCCTTAAAAAAGTTTTGATGATGATGATACTGATAATTATGAAAAACACAAATATTGACTTATAGTGATGCACTCACTGATGTACAGTATCACATATAAACACATGCATACACACATTTAACCTTACCTAATGCCACACAGACTCTATCAAATCAGCCACAGTGAACAGGAGTGATTTCGAGAGAAATACAAACACAGATCCCTGAGTAGCTGCACAGAGGAAGCATCAAGTGCATCTTCCTCTTCGCCGGGGGGCAGCAGAACTGTTTTGAGTGGTGACTTTAGCTGTCATGATAGATCAAAGGTTTGTGCTGATCAAAGGGCAGCCGCAGCAAACCCCCGCAAGTCCAGCCGCAGGGTTCACACCCGCAACCGCTGGGGTTGGAGCTAAACTCTGCAGGACACCGGCCCTCCAGGACCGAGTTTGGGCACCCCTGCCTTAAACCATTCATAAAAATCAAGATATGACTGAACAATTTTATCCAGGGGTTTTCAAATGGGATTATAGGGATCTGTAGGGGGCCACAAGGGGGTGCTGATAAGATAAGATAAACATTAACATGATTGATTGATTGATTGATTGATTAATAAGGGGGTGCTGTTGAAAAAAATAAAAATAGACAAACAAATAAATAAAGGAAAAGTTCACCAGTTTGACATTATTACAGTTTTGTTCTGCTATTCGTTTGTAGTTTTTATTTTTCTTACTTAATATAAAGATAATATTTTTTTCACATATTTACATTATTGTGATTTTTCACAGTATAAATAGGACTTGTCTTTATACACAGAAATATATAGCTTATATTTTAGGTGTCCCACAAAGAAATCACCAAAAAAATGTGAAAACCACTTTTTTAGCTATGTAATTTATGCAGCACTGTATATTATCACTGGTCAGACAAAAACATAGCCCCGCCCCACTCTCTTGTCATTGGTTGAGACAGTGTTGCTGTACTTGGGATTCTTACACGGTCATTGTGTTTACACTTCTTTTGAGGGAAAACATATAGATAGCTTACTTATTTGAACATCCAGTACAATATATGCATTACTTTTAACATTGTGTCAAAGCAACAAGTGATTCCATTTAAATGGTTTCTAGCTGGTCCAAGATTACAATATGTGAACCTGGAGCACAAAAGCAGTCTTAAATCGCTGGGGTATGTTTGTAGCAATAACCAAAAATACATTGTATGGGTCAAAATGATTGATTTTTCTTTAATGCCAAAAATCATTAGGATATTAAGTAAAGATCATGTTCCATAAAGATATTTTGTAAATTTCCTACTGTAAATATATCAAAACTTCATTTTTGATTAGTAATATGCATCGCTAAGAACTTCATTTGGACAACTTTAAAGGTGATTTTCTCAATATTTAGATTTTTTTTTGCACCCTCAGATTCCAGATTTTTCAAATAGTTGTATCTCGGCCAAATATTGTCCTAACAAACCATACATCAATGGAAAGCTTATTTATTCAGCTTGATGTATAAAATTTCAAAAAAATTGACCCGTATGACTGGTTTTGTGGTCCAGGGTCACATTTATGGTCAATAGCCGGTTCATGCAGGTCTAGATGATTAATCAGATGGATTGCCAGTATATTTAGATCTGGTTAGAGCTGACAAACCACCTTAGACCAGCAGAAAACTGCTGCTATGTTTCAAAAACCAGCATGACTGGGTGTTCAGAAATGTAATAACTCTTTGTTTCACGCATTTCAGAGAAACTATGGTATAAACTGCCGTCTGAAGGAGCGCATCGAGGAGAACGGGTATAACACATACGCATCCGCGGAGTGGAGGAACAAGAAGCGCCAGATGTTTGTAGGTCTGAGTGCTCATGGAAGGCCTCTGCGCGGGAGAAAAACCCGCAGGAAGAACACAGCTACACACTTCTTACCCATACTGGTGTGACTTTTGTTCATAATGCTGACGGGACGGAGAGAGCTCGGTGATAAAGACTTTGTCCACACGTGACTCTCTGTAGCGGCTGCGCTCCTTTCAGACGGTTCAGTGTTTGCTCTTTGGTTCATGGCCCTAGATGAAACTTATCCCCATGCCAGTTGATATTAAGTGGTAAACATTCGTGAATGCAGGCTTTCATTTCCATTGTGCATCATTCCAGTAATCTAAAATGATGGATTATGTGTGCAAGAGTTTTCTCTTTAATAGGATCATGTGCTTAAGAACGTCTGCTTTCATTTCTTTCTAATGGACATGAAGATCTTGTAGGAGCGGCTCTGAGGAGAAAGAGATAGTGGGGATGTATATGGGAAATTTATATCTTCTGAAAACTGTTTTGGACTGCTTTGAAATAATTAAATTATTTATTTGTATTGTATTTAAATAAAATACTCTAAAAAAAACATATTAAAAGCATATAAAATGGATAACCTCTAATTCCTGTGAAATAAAATCTATTTTGTTATCCTCCTGCAGAGCAGCTTGTGATGTGTTTTATGTTCACGAGAAGCAGAACTGAAGGTGAATCTCACAAAATGTTCAGGTCAACCCAAAATCAAAAAAAATAAAATTCTTTGCATTGCAACATTACTTTCATGATAAATAAGCATGTCTCATTACCATAATGCATCTGAAATTCATACTATATATTTATACTTTTTTTGTAATTCCATTATTCTTATTTGTGATTCTCATTAGACTCTCATTAATGCAAGTATTTCAGAATTACTGTAATACAAGAGCTTTTTTTTTTTTTTTTGAAATAGTTTACATCATAGATTAAAGGCAGAAATATTACAGTCTAACAAGGTTATTGTTATCAATAATAAAAACTAAAACTATTTTAAAAAATTTGTTAATTGAAATAAAGCTGAAATATAATACAATCTAAATATTAGATGAAAAACTTAAACTAGAATTAGAAATGTTGCATTGGCAACTAACTGAAATAAGTTTAAGTTGAATCATTGAAATTACTAACTAAATATAACAAAAAACTGAACCTGAAATAAAAAAATAAATAAATTCATTAAATCAAAAGGCCCGTTCACACCAAGGACGATAACTATAAAGATAACGATAAAGATATAGTTCTAAAAATCGTTCTCAATATTAAAGAATAGCACAGTCCACACCACAACTATAACGATAAAGACGAAGAGAAACGATATCGTTGGAATCACATTCAAAACGATTTTTTTCCAGCTGATGAACGATAAAAAAATTGAGAGCCAATCAGAATCCATCCTGCTGTAACGAGCTCGAGAATTTAAAGCGGCAGACGCGCGTGCGCTTAGAATAAACAGACGATATCTTTCGCTGGTGTGGACGCTAATATCGTTATCTTTATAGTTATCTTTATAGTTATCGTTCTTGGTGTGAACGGGGCTTTAGTAGTGATTTTAAAACACACACAAAATTACAAAATAAAAAATACAAAAAGCACATAACAAAATTACTTAACTTTCCAATTAAATGAAAATAAAATATATATAAAATAAAAGCTAATTCAAAATATTGATGGAAAAACTATAATAAATAATACTACAATAACACTGCAGTCTATAAGTACCTTACATTTAAATTTTATACAGCAATGAGATTGATTGATTGATTAATTGAGTTGTTAGTTAGGCTAGTTAGTCAGTGTTACTATAATAATTGATCCATTAATGGTAAAAATAATTTTATTGGAACAATATGAACTTCCCACAACCTGGATGTTGTTTGGTTAAAAGCCTAAAATGATTGTGAGCTGAAAGAGAGGTTCGGCTTACACCCTCCCAAACTCACATAAAACTAAATTAAACATACAAACAATTTCCCTCATTAACTTTTCCACTCGCTCACTGACTCCTTCAAATAATTTGTTTAGTTTCACACCTTTTGCATCCACTTGTAATAATAATAGTTGTTCCATTTCCTTTACACTCAGACAAAAAACATTAAGTAACGGGAACTAAATCCTGCTATCTGTTATCTAAATAGTTCTAGAAAACTTAGGGAGCAGAAGGCGCTCATTCAAATAATGTGATCCAGCTTTAAGAAACAAGCAGAAAAAGACTTGAGGCATTCAAAACGATTTTTTTCCAGCTGATGAACGATAAAAAAATTGAGAGCCAATCAGAATCCATCCTGCTGTAACGAGCTCGAGAATTTAAAGCGGCAGACGCGCGTGCGCTTAGAATAAACAGACGATATCTTTCGCTGGTGTGGACGCTAATATCGTTATCTTTATAGTTATCTTTATAGTTATCGTTCTTGGTGTGAACGGGGCTTTAGTAGTGATTTTAAAACACACACAAAATTACAAAATAAAAAATACAAAAAGCACATAACAAAATTACTTAACTTTCCAATTAAATGAAAATAAAATATATATAAAATAAAAGCTAATTCAAAATATTGATGGAAAAACTATAATAAATAATACTACAATAACACTGCAGTCTATAAGTACCTTACATTTAAATTTTATACAGCAATGAGATTGATTGATTGATTAATTGAGTTGTTAGTTAGGCTAGTTAGTCAGTGTTACTATAATAATTGATCCATTAATGGTAAAAATAATTTTATTGGAACAATATGAACTTCCCACAACCTGGATGTTGTTTGGTTAAAAGCCTAAAATGATTGTGAGCTGAAAGAGAGGTTCGGCTTACACCCTCCCAAACTCACATAAAACTAAATTAAACATACAAACAATTTCCCTCATTAACTTTTCCACTCGCTCACTGACTCCTTCAAATCATTTGTTTAGTTTCACACCTTTTGCATCCACTTGTAATAATAATAGTTGTTCCATTTCCTTTACACTCAGACAAAAAACATTAAGTAACGGGAACTAAATCCTGCTATCTGTTATCTAAATAGTTCTAGAAAACTTAGGGAGCAGAAGGCGCTCATTCAAATAATGTGATCCAGCTTTAAGAAACAAGCAGAAAAAGACTTGAGGCAAGTTTTCTAATGAGTGCTTGTTTGGAGGGGTCGATTCTGACACACATTTTTTAGGTAATTTATCCACAAATGACAGTTTGGTTATATACTTCACACTTTGGCTACTACTACTACTACTACTACTAATAATATTATTATTATTATTATTATTATTAATGCATAGGATGTTATATATTTTAGTCCATATATAAATATATATTTTATATATATATATATATATATATATATATATATATAAAATATATATTTATATATGGACTAAAATATATAACATCCTATGCATTAATAATAATAATAATAATAATAATATTATTAGTAGTAGTATTACTACAGATTATTTAGATTTATATAGAACAAGGCAGATTTAGACAGAATTATTTTATATAAATAAATTATAATTGTTTGAGTTTTTAAAAATTATTTTATTTATTTTACTTTAATTTGACATGTTATTTATAATATTATTACATTCAAACTTTTGTTTAAACAAAAAGTCACTTGTCCATGAGATTGTCATTACAGACTGACAACAGCACATTCATAGTATACAAATGAATGAACTAACAGAAACAAAAATAAAATAGTAAGTTATATGGGTTATATTACATAAAATGGATAATACAATTTATATACACAAGAACAGCTTTGTTTTCAAGATATGCAGTTGGGGTAATTTTTTAAATAATATATTTTTATAACAGAATTTTCAAAAATTATAAGTAATTAAACAAAGAATGAAGTTTATTAACCTTTATTAATTAGATTTGGTGTATAAGCCCAAGATTATACCAGGACTGTTGATTCATATTACCATGAATGGGAGAAACAGATTAAGTTAAAGTGATTTGAGGTAACTAAGTAAAGTTAAAATGTAATTTAAAGGAACCGATTCATAAACACATACATTTAACGATCATTCTGAGTTCTCTCTATATTTTAGTCTTGCAATAATACATGTATAGACAAGTAATTTCCAAAAGTCTCCAGTAGAGGATGCCATTCTTTCACAGTGACTGCTGTTTTCATGCACCTGGTCTTGAGGTGGTCTGGGTTCCTTGAGGTTTCTTGAAATCCATTAAAAAATAATTTGTCTTAAAGGGGTCATATGATGTTGCTAAAAAAGAACAGTATTTGGTGTATTTGGTGTAATGAAATGTGTTTATGTGGTTTAAGGTTAAAAAAACACATTATTTTCCACATACTGTACATTATTGTTTCTACCTACGTCACTATTTGGGCGGCGTTATGCAACTCTTCCCAGATAGTGACGTAGGTATGTGGGGTGTGTTAGAACGAGCCGTTTTAGGTAGGCGTGGTTGACTCTTAACTTTTATAAAGAATATCTCTTTGGATTTGAGACTTTAGTCTTTGCAACTTTACAGATCTTCTTTATGCACCAAGAGCTTGTAACACTCCAAAGAGAAAGGAAAAATTGAAATCGCATCATATGACCCCTTTAATATTTTTTTTTTCACATGTCCCAGTTCTATTCTGTAAATAGTGGAGGGTTTTCATTCTTATGCTATCACACATCACTGAGTTGGTTGACATGCCTGCTTCAGACAGCATATCTGCAATATGGGAGTTGTCTATATCCCATAGTGAGATACCGAACGAATGTTTGAAAGAGAACTTTAGGTTACTCACCTAACCCCGGTTCTCTGATAACATGAGTGAGGTATCTCACCACACTTCCCTCCTTACAGCAGCACGGGGAAGAGATATGCGGTGAATGAGGTAGGAACTGTTAAGCAGTGATATATATATAGGGAGGCGGGACTCCCGCATCACTGTCGTGATTGGTCTGTCAACTGACAGACGTGGTGTAATTGGTGCTTCCAGGATTGGTCACGCCCAAGGCGATTCCCATAGTGAGATACCTCACTCGTGTTATCAGAGAACCGGGGTTACGTGAGTAACCTAAAATTAGGTTGAGGATGAGTATACTTTAAGACGATACTGCTTTATTTAAAATGAAGTTGTTGATTCAGTGGTAGTCTCTTTGCTGGTTACGTTATGCATGTGTGCTATTACAATGTACTAGCTGGATGACTGAAGTACTTAATTTACTAGAGTAATACTTTTTTTTTTTAAAGGGAATCAGTTTGCATGCTTTTAACAAGTAAATTAGACCACTGTTCAAGTAAATACAACTGATAAATTCCAAGTTGCAGTAAATGCTACATTAGTTAGCTCAACTTAAATGAGTTGTTTGGAATACACACCTAGTGTTTTTATCTTAAAAATGAATTAGTTGTTGAAACTAAAAAGTGTTTTTTTAAATTCACTTAGTTTTAAAGCAATCCATTTGCGTGCTTTATTCAAGTAAGAGCCGTAGCTGGGTTTTGCGGGGCCCCGGTGTAGGTTGTACTTGTGGACCCTGCATGTTTGAAATCGTGTAAATAGCACAAATAAATAAATAGAACAAAGATACAAATTTAAAAAATGTTTAGGTTTTTTCAAGTTTGTAGGTGTTCAGGTACAGAAACCGAATAATCAAATGTAAAATAGCATTGCATAGTCTTCAATGTATAATTTAAATATAGATTAATTCTTGATAAAACTACAAAGTAATTTAGTCAAGAGCAGTGAGTGATTTTCTCTCTTTTATTTTCTTGGTAACACTCCAAAGAGAAAGGAAAAAATGAAATCGCATCATATGACCCCTTTAAGGACACCGACAGCAGCCAGTAAATTAGGCGAGGTCACTTTAAGAGACAATGCATCCAATATAATGAGACATCCGATTTCTTTCTCAACTGTTTACCTTCACTTAAGACATAACCAACAGTTTTTCGAGGATATTTACCAAGACAGGTATTTTGACACAATTTTGTGTGTATTAGTCCGTTCAAGTGCAAAAAATGGAAAAACTCAATTTGTTGTTCAAGGGCTGTGAGACTCGGCGATCTGCGTGCGAGTTGTGCGCACAGAACACTGTAGGTGCTGAATTAAGCTTTTTGTGCTTGCATGTTTAAACTGGCAAGGTGTATTTGTTCGTTCAAGCGCAAGAAGACTCAAAAGAGAACTCAGTTCTGTGTTCTTGCGCTGTCTGTGTAGAAGCACAAAAATATTTTAAGCTTTCTTTTTCTTTTTTCTTTTAACAAAAAGTATTATTTTGATCTAGTATTTTATTTTAGTGGTGTAAATTCATTTACTGTAATTGACAGGTGTGATGATCAGTGGCGCTGAGTCTTGACCTTCATTGTTTAATCCTGGGCTTAAAATTGGATAGAGTTTGTCAGTGAAAGACTGACCAGTGTAAGAGTAGATATGAGAGCTGGACTCCACATCATAAAAGGAGACCAGACCCTCCTCATAATTCACAAACACACCGACCCGCTGCGGCTTCACTCTCAGAGACAGAGCGACAGAGGGACCAGCAAAGGCTTCATATTCATAACCATTCCTCAGGACCACAGTCCAGTATCCATTCCTGGGACTCAGTGTGATCTCTCCCTTCCTGTTAATGGATTCTCTGACCACTCCTAAATCCCAATCAGTATTTCCCTTCACCTGCACCTCAAAATAAAATCTCCCTGAGGAGAATCCCTCCTTTCCCAGGACATATATACAATTATCAAATCTCTTTGGATTGTCTGGGAGGTTCTGTCTAACGTCTCCAAGTCTCACTTGTTTTCCATCATCAGACAGGATGAGGTTTGGAAGAGCTGTATCAGGATCCAGAGTCACATCCACTGAGAAAACAGAGAACATGAATCACAAGTTCACAACACAAAGATTCTGTGATGTTGATGTTTTTAATATTTAATAGTTTTAATCAGATGGTAGTGCAGTAATGAAGCTGTGAGTATGTGAATGTAAACTAGTGTAGTGCAGAGAGCTCACTGTACCTGCATACTGCTGCATCCTCTTCAGCTCTGTAGAGACGCACAACAATAAAACATCATAAGATCTTTGAGTCTCGTTCTTCATTACTGATCTTAAAAGATAATAAACATATGTATCTGTAATGGTGTATTTGATATTGACGTACCAGTTTTTGTGAGTTTCTCATCTAGAGTGTGCTGCAGTTGAGTCAGAGCTCTCCTCAGAGTCTCCAGACTCACATGAGTCTTCATACTGATCTCAGGCCAGTTCCTGCTGTTTCTAGGGCTGCAGAGGGATGAGTAAATCTACAGCAGGAGAGAGGAGGAATCCTTCAACATGAGGAGTGTTATACACTGCTTTGTCATTGATCAGAGAGATGCTGACTGACCTGTAGCAGGTGGAGGTGATCTTCAGTGTGTGAGAGCCGCTCCAGCTCAGTGTTTCTCATCTTTAGCTCACTGATCTCCTTCTCCAGCTCTTCCATGAGCTCTTTCTCCTGTTTCTCTGCTGCTTTCTGCTGCTCCTCCATCATCTCCAGCTGTTCAGTCTGGCATCTCTCAATGGAGCGGATGAGATCAGTGAAGAGCTCAACACGGGCTGCTTTCTCCTCCTCTGTGTTTCTCTGCTCAACCAGTCAGTCAACAAATGATCAGTGGTGTTTGCTAAGACAGGAATCAGTGTTACTATTGCTCATACTTCAGTATTATTATTTTTTTAACCTCTCAACTGAAGTGTATTTTTTATTGTTTTTAAACAACAATTCAGTAAACCAGATATTAATACTGAATAACTTAGTAGAGATTAGTTCCTGAATGAATCAGTGTTTTTGAACGAATCGTTCGAACAAATGAATCAAATTCCGTGACTCACGGACAAGTCAGTCACTTGTCGCCACCTATTGGTATAACAATGTAACCTGCAGATTGAGTCACTGTAACTCTCTGTGGACTCTTGGAGGACCGGAACTAAATGATGTATAATAAATACTTATATAAGTTTAATTCAGTTATTTTAAACTCACTTTTCTAACTTCTGCTGAGTGTTGGATGTCTTCAATCTTCTCGATTCGCTCCTGGATCATCTGCTGCACGTCTTTCTGTGTCTTTATCAGTTGAGTCTACAGACACAGACACATTTATCATAACAGAGATTTACAAATGAGATTCTTCATGATATGAGACCTTTAAAAGCAGTTTTGTTAGTAACTTCTACCTTCTTCTCTTCACTCTCCTCTTCTAGAGGAACAGTCTTGTGGTTCTTGTGGTCTGTCACATGACACATCAGACACACACATGTCTGATCGTCTCTACAGAACAGCTCCAGAGGTCTCTCATGTGTCTGACATATATAGTCCTCCAGATTACTCACAGGCTCCATCAGTTTGTGTTTCTTTAAAGCTGCCACTCTCAAATGACGCTCCAGATGAGTTTCACAGTAAGAGCTCTGACACACCACACACGACTTTAGGGCTTTGAGCTTTCTTTCCTCGCAGATGTCACACAGAACTTCAGGTTTTTTCTCAGGTGTTTTCTTCTTATAGTGACCTACGAGCTCTCGCAGTGTGGTATTAATCTTGAGATCGGGTCTTTGGCTGAATGTTTCTTTACAGTAAGGACAGCTGCAGGTCTGGCTGTTGTCCCAGCACTTATTGACTAAATAACAGAAACGCTAAACATGATTATCAACCAATCAAACGACAAATTAATACAACTCTAATACCATTTCAGTCTAATAGACAACCAAAGTAGATGACATGCTTAAACCTGGTTCTGTTCAACTTATTCTATTTTGACATAAACCGTAAACCAGGTCACTCCATTAGAAACAGTTCAGGACAATCTCTCTTCTATTTCTATCACTTACCTGTAAGTATCAGATGTTTCCACTGGGGTCTTTGAACGACTCAATAAATAAACAAACACCCTGGTAAATTAATTAATGTTCATTTAATACAGGAATTTCCTTGAAAGGTACTTTGGTAAAACGTCTGCAGTTCAGTTCATGGGTTGAGACTTTTATTTTGAAATTACAGGGCGGAAGTAATCCAGGAAGCGATTCCCCCACGTGTGCGCCACATTCTCATGCTTTCAGTGATGCAGACAAACATGGGAGAGATCGAGGTCAGCACCGTGAGACCCAAAGTCACCGATGCTAAAGGCATCCTCAAACAGAACCGACAGTTCCTGGATTACTTCTGGGACATCGCGAAGCCCGAGCGAGAAATCCGCCTCAAAGCGATAGAGGATTTAATCGAACACTTGAAGCAGAGTGAGAAGGTATGGAGTGTCAGCTCTGATCATTTAATATTGGCCGATCGCTGTTGATATTCGCAATATTGTTCTCTGCCGGAGTTGGTTGTTATTGTGGTCAGTGCTGTTTTATCACCCGATTTAATAAGCTGTCATTAACTGAATAGTGGATCCATTCGGCTTTGGTTGTTGATGTAAACACTAATCTGTGAGACTTTTTTTTCAGGATTTTTTGATGATTAAAAAGTAAAAAAAAAAAAAAAAAGCATTTATTGAAAATAGAAATATTTTATAACAATGTAAGTCTTTACTATCACTTTTTTTTTAAATCAATTTAACACATCCTTACTGAATAAAAAGCATTATTTCTTTCAAAAAAAAAGAAAAAAATAACTGACCCCAAACTTTTGAACGGTAGTGTATATTGTTGCAAAATATTTCTATTGATGATGCGGAAAATTAAGCTTTGATCTCAGCAATAAATTATATTTTAATGTATATTAAAATAAAAAAATTTGACAGAAATTCATCAGAAATGCAGCGTTTGGGAATTTCTTCGCCGTGCTCGCCCTGTCTCAGTCCACACGTCTGCATAAGGTCAGAGAATCGTAGTGTTGCGTTGTTGCTTTTATATGGGCAAAAATCACTGGAAATAGATTTTGGAAACACTAATTATCTTGCATATCATTTGGGATGCAATCTGGGATTCAGATAAACTCTGATTTGTGTTGATGATCTTTTCCTGTCTCTCATTCCTCAGGAGCCGCAGGTCATGTTGGAGTGTGTGCGGCTCCTGCAGAGTCTGTCCCATTACAGAGAACACCTGAGAGACCTGCCCAGAAAAACCATGGTCGACATCCTGTCAGAGGTCATTGTTATTGTATTATTTCCCTCCTAATTTTTGTTGTATAGACATTGAATGAAGTGTTTGTAGAAGTGCCCTAATATGTATAACAATGATATCTATATGTGACCCTGGAACACAAAACCAGTCATAAGGGTAAATTTTTCGAAATTGAGATTTATACATCATCTGAAAGCTGCGTAAATAAGATTTCTATTGATGTATGGTTTGTTAGGACAATATTTGGTCGAGATACAACTATTTGAAAATCTGGAATCTGAGGGTGCAAAAAAAATCAAAATATTGAGAAAATCACCTTTAAAGTTGTCCAAATGAAGTTCTTAGCAATGCATATTACTAATCAAAAATTAAGTTTTGATATATTTACGGTAGGAAATTTACTAAATATCTTTATGGAACATGATCTTTACTTAATATCCTAATGATTTTTGGCATAAAAGAAAAATCAATAATTTTGACCCATACAATGTATTTTTGGCTATTGCTACAAATATCCCCCAGCGACTTAAGACTGGTTTTGTGCTCCAGGGTCACATATATTAATTAACGTAGTATTAATAATAATAACTGTTATATTGTATTATATTATATTATAATGTACTGTATTGTATTTTATTTGTACACTATCAGTCAAAAGTTTTGAGTAATTAATTACCATTTATTTGACCATAAATACGGTAAAAACAGTAATATTGTGAAATATTATTACAAATTAAAATAACTGTTTTCTATTTGAATATATTTTAAAATGTAATTTATTTCTGTGATGCAAAGCTGAATTTTCAGCATCATTACTCCAGTCTTCAGTGTCACATGATCCTTCAGAAATCATTTTATTTTCTTTCAATTTGGTGCTGAATTATTATTATCAATTATTATCAGTGCTCAGTTTTTTATGAATGGATCTCATTATTGTCAATGTTGAAAATTTTTCCCAGGATCCTTTGAATGATACTGTATCGTGGCTTCCATAAAATATTAAGCAGCACGGCTGTTTTCACCATTAGTAATAATAGAAAGAAATGTTTCTTGAGCAGCAGATCAGCATATTTGAATGATTTCTGAAGGATCATGTGACACTGAAGACTGGAGCCATTTGGGGATTCAGATAAACTCTCAGTTGTGTTGATGATCTTTTACTGTCTCTCGTTTCTATAATGTTTAGTTTGCATTGTGTTTGTTGCATAGACATCGAAGGAGGTGTTTGAAGAGGTGCTCCTGAGCGCCCTGCAGTCTGACCTGACCTCTGCCCTCAACACTCCCGAGCAGCTTGAGCTCCTCCTAGTGGCCCTGCAGAAGTTCCCCTCTGTGCTCAAACCCAAAAAACTCAAGAAACTATTGGGAACCACAGCAGTCATTACTAAAGAGAACATGCCGAAGTAAGTGTGTCTGACTTTTAAATGATTTTAATTTAAAGTCTATTTACTTATATAATTAATTATATATTTTACATTTTAGATTTTTAAAATGGTTTATTAAAAATGAATTTATAATGTAATAAATTGTATATGAAATAATGTAATTCTATAATTATTTATTATAATAAATCAATATTTATTATTTTACTTATTTGCTTATTTTTTGTTGATTTTATTCGAAAGAGCAAAATGTCGTTTTACACATGGTAGGTTAAAACATGCTCTTGTTAGTATGATTTATTTTATTTATTTTTTAGTTGCATATTTATTGTGTTGATTTCATTTGAAAATGTTGTTTTATAAGTGGTGTTAAAAACGTGATTTTATTTTTTTGTGCTTCATTGTTTTATCAATTCTTTATATAATATATATATATATATATATATTATATGCCTAGATATAAATAAATATGCCTAGAGAAATCCATGCAATTTAAAATAGAATCATGGGTACATTTTTACTGATCTCAATATTAAGAATTGTTTCAATACCCGTTAGAATATGATGACCAAAACACATCCTTTTCTCTCTCTTTATTTATCAGTTATTTGAGTTTCCGGTTGTTGGGAGCGTCTCTGCCGCTGCTGTCAGTCGCTCAGCTTGAGTTTGTGCTGTCCGCTGATGTGATGACACACTACGGTCAACACATGCTGTCCGCACAGGTCTGTCTTTATATTTGGTGATGTGTATGTTTCACGTGATGTTTTTTAGTTGAAAAAATTGTTTATTTAACACAAATGTAAACGCCATTTAATTATGTAGTAAAAGATCACTAGAATTAAAAGTAGTGAGAGAATTTGACATCTGAGTTGCATACTAGTGTATTTATGCATGTATATACATGTGCAATGAGCTAGTACTGCATTCTGAATACAGCCTGTGCCATAATACTGTATGTTTATCATGCGTCTCTCCCTTCAGCTGGCAGACCGATTCAAGTTTGCTCCAGAAATGGAGAAGTACGTGAGTGAGTTCATGCGGGGCTGCGTTGACGCTAACAAACAGCTCGTCGTGGCGCTCGGCTTCACTCAGCTCACTAACCAGGGCTACCCTGTGGTCCCGTCCTGCTGGAAGGATCTGGAGCACATGGATCTGTCTGCGCTGCAGAAGTACGTGGAGTGGTTGATGGAGGGCTTCTGCAAGCCCCAGCTGGAGAAATGCCTGGACTTCAGCACCCGCAGACAGAAAGGAAACCAGGAGACTGAAGTAGAGTGAGTCCACACTGTGCTTTCCAAGAATTGACTGTTTAAAAATAATTAAGAATAGAGAAGTAAAAAAAAAAGAAGAAAAGTATTACACTTTGACAAGGCAGATCTTGTCTAAGTGATCTTGTTAGTAAAACCATATGTTAATAGTAATAATAATAAAAACAATATGTATATATACATTTAAATTATGATTATGTAAATATAATAAACAATCCATAATTGTGTACAATAAATACAGTAATAACATTAATAATATTTACATATGAATTTATACATTAATAATAAATATTAGTAGTAGTAGTAATAATTATAAGAATAATAGCATTCATATTTTATTTTTATATTATATTATTTTTTATATAAATCTATAAATTATTATATACAATAAATAGAGTAATTTTATACATTTACATAATTAGTTATTATTATTGTATGTATGTAGATATATATTTATATATATTAGGGATATTGCATATTCATTACCGTGATATATCGCATTACCGAATACCGGCACAAGTCTAATATATACATTAGGGCTGCACGATATATCAAAATTATCAAAATATCACAAATGTAATATAAATATAAGGATTCATATTATTAATTATATACAATAAATAGAATATTTATCCATTCATTTATACTTTCATTATAATAATTAGATGTAATATTAATAATAATAATAATAATATGTGAATTAACAATGTTATGAAGTATTTTTATAAATCAATCTATAGTACAAATCTTTTTTTATGAAAATATTTTGTATTAAATATTTTTTATATTATATATACAAATATTTAATACAACATATATATGATAAATATGATATGATGCAATTAATTAATATTAAAGATTAACAAGATTAATACCCATTTGTAATTTGATTAGTAATTAACAATTCTTTGTATAAATGTTTTTTATTTTCATCTCCAGGCAGTTTCCTCTCATGCAAACTTCATATTTATTCTGATTTATTTCTTGCTGTAGGAGTGACAGCTGTGTTGCCAGGTTTCGTAAATGGATCATTCTACGCCTCACGTTCATTGTGGAAAACCATCAGATTAAGAAACGGGAGGATCTCGTCATGAAAATGGCTCGGTAACTCATCTTGAGATCTCACTAATGGTCTCTACATGACTCCTGTGGCAACTCCTCTGATATGAATCGATGGTATTGCGATGCTTTATCTTTCTTCTGTAGGTTTATTTTCTTCCACGCTTTCTTTGATGTGAAGAAACCCACCCCAGAAATCCCTGAGACGACGCAGGCTCTCTCAGTGCCCATCGATCAACAAACACGAGCCAGCATCTCTTCAGCCTTCTACGGGTGAATAAAACTTTTCAGTAAAATTTTGTAAATTAAATAAAAAGATTTAATCAGTCATAATAAAGAGCATTTAAAAAAAAAAAAATATTTTTATAAAATGTAAATGCTAATGGATGCAACAGACAGTTTATATTGAATGAAACAAGTTAAAGGGATAGTTCACCCAAAAATGAAAATGTGATGTTTATCTGCTTACCCCCAGGACATCCAAGATGTAGGTGACTTTGTTTCTTCAGTAGAACACAAACCGTTGCAGTCTGTCAGTCTTATAATGGAAGTGAATGGGAATCACGGCTTTGAGAGTCAAAAAAACATACACAAACAAAACCAAATTAAACCCTGCGGCTCGTGACGATACATTGATGTGTAAAGACACGAAACGATCAGGGTGCATTTGAGAGATAGGTGGTGGTAATGCACTTATAAGTCTGCGATCCACTGTAAAGCAAGAAGACGCATCACGCGCCATCTGTCGAGGACGCGCTCGGGACAGTTCAGACATTGCAGTGCATCAGAGGTAAAAAACGATATAAATACTGTTCAGTTTCTTGCACAGACTGATCGTTTCGTGTCTTTACACATCAATGTATCGTCACGAGCCGCAGGGTTTAATTTGGTTTTGTTTGTGTATGTTTTTTTGACTCTCAAAGCCGTGATTCCCATTCACTTCCATTATAAGACTGACAGACTGCAACGGTTTGTGTTCTACTGAAGAAACAAAGTCACCTACATCTTGGATGCCCTGGGGGTAAGCAGATAAACATCACATTTTCATTTTTGGGTGAACTATCCCTTTAAATTAAGGTATTAATTATAAATATAGAGTTAAATTAAGTATCTACTTCATCTCCTCCAGTCTTCTGCAAGGCCTGAACACAATGGCTGTGTTAGGAGATTCTGCTGAGGCGGAGAGGAGGATTCTGGGTGTTAAAGCTGATGGAAGCATGTGGATCTACTGTGTGGTCCAGTACGCCACCACGCTGCTCAACCAGAGCAAACACGTCCAGAGCGTTCAGACCCTCAGTCCAGAGCAGAGACGTGTCTGGGACAGGTGACGCATCCTGCAAGACACTACTCATGATCTCAGTCATAACACATTGAAGAACAAGAAAAGGCTGTTTTCTACTTTATGACCTTTGAAATGTAAACGAATAAAGTGAGGTAGATGGACTGCAGCTGAAATGCCTTCGGTGATTTTGTGTTGTGTGTGTTTAGTATGCTGGAAACAGTGGAGGCCTTGAGGAAAAAAGCAAAGAAGCCTTCTTCACCTGAACACTCGGCGTTCCAGCACCTCTTCCTTCTCGTTGGCATTCAGATGTTCAAGGTTTGATTCTTCATGGCTTGATAAATGTCTGTAACATTAGATCAAAGATTCCCAAACTTTTTTGTCAACTGAACCTCCTGAGATTTTAAGTTAATATTTCAATAATTTAACTGCATACCCCCAAGTTCACTGTTCTCTGATGTTTGTCAGTGGTCACATGACATGCAGGTAAATGGAGAAATTATTTTTATGCATTTTCTTTGTTTCTAGATTATCTTTTGTAGTAAGTGTAACGTTTGGATTTAAAGGCACAATATGTAAGTGTTTGGCGCTAGAGGTCGCATTTTCAAAACAATAACAAAAGTGTCGTTTTCACCATCCAGAGATGTCCGATTCATGTTCACGGATGTAATGAATAAATTTTTTTTTTATTACCTGTACCTTCCAAAGGTTTTCAAACAGCGAATAAATTATATAGAGAAAGCGAGCAAAGAACGTTTAACGTTACATTGTCAAAGAACAGTATGCCTGTCTTCAGTCTAGCGCGAGTTTAAGCACTCTCAAATAACTCCCTTATAATCAGTAAAGCTGTCTATACACGGTTTGATGAATTAATCTCCCACTTACATCATACGTACATCTGCACTTTGTTGTTTATGATGAGAGAATACACTCAGCAAGCGCGCGCACTAAACAAATCTCCGGTGTTTCAGCGATGACTCATCTAAACGCTTCTGATTGGCCGCTGCGTTCCTAAACTCAACAGACTTGTGTGTGATTGGTTATAACGCGCAACACTGTAAAAACGCGGAAAAAGATACATGGTGCAACATTGAGCAGATCTAAAATGTAATGCTGCAGTCAACACTTTTCATTTCATTTTAATTTTATTCGCGACTGCCGTAATGGATTTAGTTTAACTGCAGCAGCATTTTAGTCCACATGTGTTGCCATAGTTTCTACAAGAGGAAACCGATAGCGTGGATATTACGTAATTGATAGGCGACAATGAACCGGGACGAGCCATTATTTAAAATTGGAATTTCACTGGATTTACAAATCCTTGGGAACTTTTGGGATAACGTAAGTGCACAACTGCATGAAATTAAATATAACAATGTGCAAGTGGTTTTTGGATATTTTATTACGAAAATCTTACATATTGTGCCTTTAAAATAATATTCTTTATTTTAAAATTATTTATTTTAATTTTACGTTTATGATTTAATTATTAGCTTTCCATCGACTTATGAACCCCAGTTTGGGAAACCCTGCGTTAGATAACAAAATAGCAAAGCAAGTTTCTGTATCTGTGCTCAAATGCTGCATTAAAACATTCATAATGTTTTTATGTAGTCTAATGTTTTTTAATTCTTTTGTCAAAAAGCAGAAATAAAATGACTTGTCACTTCATCACGATTATCAGTTCAGCATCAGCATTCCTGTAGCTCATAATGTGTAGCATGGTGCTAGAAATGCCAAGGTTATGGGTTTGATTCCTGGGGTTTGCATGAACCGATAAAATGTGTACCTTGAATGCAATGTAAATTGCTTTGGATAAAAGCATCAATCAAATGCATAAATTAAACAAATGTAGATTATCAGACATTGACACATACTTTTTTTAAGAAGATAAAAAACAAATCTAATGGAATAATATATTTATTATTAATTATTATAAATTTTTTATTTAAATTTTTTTTTCTGTTGGACACCGTAAAGCTGGTTTGACACAGCCAGTATTTTATAAAGCGCTATACAAATAAAGGTAAAAAAAAAAAACAATAATAAAAAAAAAAAATTAAATAAAAAGAAATTGGTGAACTCCAGCGTGAAATATTTAAATAATTTTTGCAGCCACTTTTTTTATTTGTTTGTGCATTTATATATATTTTTTCAATATTTTACCCTTGTTGTGTGTGAGAAGGTCTTTGTTTTAATGCCTGTTCATTTTTGCTATTTGAAAATGGTTGTTGGAAATTAAGTACAAGAAAAAATCATGTGCTTTACATTGCTATTCAAAATAAAATTGATTAAATATGATTGATGAAATAATTTCAGAATGTGCTAAAGACTGTTTTACTGCCTTTATTTTGTGATCTTGACATACATGTTTTTCTCACTCCAGGCTCCAGAAGAAAGTTTGGAGCTGTTGAATGATTTGCGGACCTGCATGGAGAAAGCTCAGGCTAAGAAATTAAAGAAGAAGAAAGCGAGTAAGTTGGAGTGGTCCAGTGCAATTAATGGATTTAATGTTTTTGACTTCTGTTTTTGATGTAGTGCTTTATTCTTGCTTGATTATGCACTAATGGTGTGTGTGTGTGCCTGCGTGTGTGCGTGCGTGTGTGCCTGCGTACGTGTGTGTCTGTGTGCGTGCGTGTGTGTGTGCGCGTGTGTGTGCGTGCATGTGTGTGTGTTGCAGATGGAAAGGGCTCTGATGAGGAGCCGCTCTGGGTGGAGGTGGTTGTTGAGATCCTGCTGTCGCTCCTGTCTCAGCCCAGTCGACTCACTCGTGGTGTGTGTAAAGCTGTGTTTAGCCGTATCTGTCCTCACCTCACCCAAGAAGCTCTCAGCTCCATCCTGAACGTAAGAGACTGCTGACTAATTAACAGTGCTATTTTAGTGTTGTTTACATGCTGTTATGATATTAATGTTGAATTAGCTTCTATTTTTATTTTTTATTTTAATTTTAGTTTGTTTTAGTAAATGTACATTTTCAAAATATTTCTTTTTCACATTAATTTATATTTATTTTAGTTTTAGTTGTTCAACTCAAACTTAATTTGTTTTAGTTAGTTGCCAAGGTTAAATATCAAATGTTTACCCTTTTTAAGCTTTTAATCTAATATTTATATTTTATTTTAGCTTTTTCAATTTGTGAAAACACATATTTTTATACTGTCCTCCAATTTAAGTTTAAATTGTAAGTTACCGATTAAGCTGCCTCTTCATATTTGTTATAAACAGACATAATTGTACACGTTCAGTTTTACCCACAATGCATTTAGCTTCCATAATGTGATGTGTTTCTGAGTGAAACTGCATATGTGACCCTGGACCACAAAACCAGTCTTAAGTCGCTGGGGGATATTTGTAGCAATAGCCAAAAATACATTGTATGGGTCAAAATTATCGATTTTTCTTTTATGCCAAAAATCATTAGGATATTAAGTAAAGATCATGTTCCATGAAGATATTTTGTAAATTTCCTACTGTAAATATATCAAAACTTAATTTTTGATTAGTAATATGCATCGCTAAGAACTTCATTTGGACAACTTTAAAGGTGATTTTCTCAATATTTTGATTTTTTTGCACCCTCAGAGTCCAGATTTTCAAATAGTTGTATCTCGGCCAAATATTGTCCTAACAAACCATACATCAATGGAAAACGTATTTATTCAGCTTTCAGATGATGTATAAATCTCAATTTCGAAAAATTGACCCTTATGACTGGTTTTGTGGTCCAAGGTCACATATTCTGGAGGAAATCATTTAGGGTGGGCTTTATTTCATGAGGATTTGATTGAATAGTGGGTGTTAGGCTGATTGGTGATATTATTGGTAAATTCTACATTTTCCCCGTCCACATGGCTGTGATTAAATGAGAGACAGTAATTACATTTTGTTAATGCTATGAACATTTTTTATTTTTTTTTAAATAATGCACATTATTAATGTACATAATGATTATTTGTGCTGTATAAGACACAGATAATTTATTAAGAAAGTAAATAGGGTCTTGTTTTGATTGATTTTTAGGTTCTAGACCCAAACAAGGATGAGGATGAAAGTGGTGTTATGGTGACTGATGAGAAGGAGAAAAAGAAAAAACATAAAGAGGAGGAAGAGCGAGATGAAGAAGAGGATGATGATGTGGAGGTGAAACTGTCCATCATGAGTATTTATGCCATCAAACTGAATAATTTTATATCTAATTCTGTACATTTCAAATGTTTCCCTTCTCTCTTTTTCATTTCATCAGGATGAAGAGGGTTCTGATTCCTCCTCCTCTTCCTCTGAAGATGATGATGAAGCCATGGAGGAAGGAGAAGGGGTGGATCAGAACTTTCGTTTGGATTTGATGAAGGTTCTGCAGGGTCAGAATGCTCTGGTATGAACGAGTAAATGAATTTTCACCGCATACACAGTTGTAACCTAGAATATGCCTGTGTGAACATTCCAGATAACTCAAAGAGTGAATCAATAGTAGCAGATGTTCTGTTGTTCTTGTTTAGGCCACTGAAGAGGATGGCAGTGATGAAGAGGAACTGGATGATGTGGCCATGATGAAGCTGGACGGAAGCCTTTCTGCTCTCTTTCTGGAGCAGAAGAAAAAGATCCAAGCCAAGAAAGATGAGAAGGACAGACTCCGCAAGGAAAAGGTCCTCGTGCGGGACTTCAAGATTAAAGTATGGCTTTGCCCATGGGGCTATTTCTCATTTATGAATATATGTTTTTATCTTATTTTTATCTATTATTATCTAATTATTATTATCTAAGTTTTAAGTTTGTTTTCATATAGAATAAATTAATTTAATTTAATTTAAATTTATTACAAATATTTTTACTATTACCTTATAATATTTTATATTATTACTTTTACATTAAAATGAGTGAGGTTGCGTTGATCATTGTTAACGACTATTTTTAGACTTATTTTAACTAGATTATTTCTTTATTTTTATTTGTTGTTTATTATTTATTTAATAATATTATTTGATTAAATAAAATATTTTCATTTATATTTTAAAGGGGTCATATGATGCGATTTCATTTTTTCCTTTCTAGAGTGTTAGTTACAAGATGTACAGTATGTGGAAAATAATGTGTTTTTTTTACTTTAAACCGCATAAACACATTTCATTACACCAAATACACAAAATAATGTTCTTTTTAGCAGCATCATATGACCCCTTTAAAATCTTGTTAGTATATAATTTAATGATTTATTCTGACTGCATGCTGTTTGCACAGTAAAACTGTCGCTACAACCATATACAGTCAAACGGATGACTTTGGCAGTTGTGTTGCATCTAGCAAAGTTTTTTGAGCAGTTTATTTGTGTTAAAAATTGTCCAACATTTACATATTCTGTAAACATGTCCGATTGCGGTCAGGTGTATCTTAAACCAGTCTAATTATTCAGGGATTCCTTAAGACTGATTAATGATTAGTCGATGTTGAAAAGTGTATAGTTAAAATATCTCTCTCAGAGGCTGATTTAAGTGATTTGATGTGTTGTTTTCAGGTACTGGACATGGTGGAGATGTTCTTGAGCAAACAGGGAAGCAGCGCTCTGGTTCTTGGGATGGTGGAACCGCTGCTCAGCGTGATCGAGAACGGGATGAGCTCCGAAACCAGCCAACAGGAACAGGACTTCCTGCGCAAGGCCGCAGACATCTTCAGGTGAGCAGTGCTATTTTAGTGTCCTTTAAATACTTTTAAAGTATTTATTAATATTTATAATTAGGTTTTATTTTATATTTTTTTTTATAGTTTTTATTTAAATTTTGGTAAATGTGATTGTCAATTAAAAATTATTATTATTTTTTTTATATATAGCTTTAATTTAAGTTTGAGTTTCTTTTAGTACTTAAATTTACTTAATTTAGGTTTTCATATAATATTTATTATTGAATGAAAACTGAAAACTAGTGCTGTCAATCGATTAAAATAAATTAACTAATTAATCCCATTTTTTCCCACTTAACATTAAAGTTTTTAAATATACTTTTATATTGCAGTAATTTCACATTCAATCTTCAAATTAATGTAGAAACAACATAAATACAGTATATTTTTAATATTTGTTTAATGGCATCTTTTTTTATTACTGAAGGCAAGTATCACTGATACCAATACTACATACACTACTGATGTCTCTAGGATTTCCCCCCCCCTAATATTTAACCATTGACTAGCCATTCAACATTACAGTATAATTGAGAACTATCAATTTTAACATTTATTAGACTTTAAAAAAATAACTTCTAATTTAAGTGAACTTAAAACAATCTTCACATAAACCCATTATAATAAATGTCATGTTTAGCTACCTGTGCCCTTCAGCAAATAGGAAATATACAGAAATTGAATAAAGTTATCAAACTCTAAATTCTAAATTAAATATAGATGAATATGTACAGTATGTGGAAAATAATGTGTTTTTTTTACTTTAAACCGCATAAACACATTTCATTACACCAAATACACAAAATAATGTTCTTTTTAGCAGCATCATATGACCCCTTTAAAATCTTGTTAGTATATAATTTAATGATTTATTCTGACTGCATGCTGTTTGCACAGTAAAACTGTCGCTACAACCATATACAGTCAAACGGATGACTTTGGCAGTTGTGTTGCATCTAGCAAAGTTTTTTGAGCAGTTTATTTGTGTTAAAAATTGTCCAACATTTACATATTCTGTAAACATGTCCGATTGCGGTCAGGTGTATCTTAAACCAGTCTAATTATTCAGGGATTCCTTAAGACTGATTAATGATTAGTCGATGTTGAAAAGTGTATAGTTAAAATATCTCTCTCAGAGGCTGATTTAAGTGATTTGATGTGTTGTTTTCAGGTACTGGACATGGTGGAGATGTTCTTGAGCAAACAGGGAAGCAGCGCTCTGGTTCTTGGGATGGTGGAACCGCTGCTCAGCGTGATCGAGAATGGGATGAGCTCCGAAACCAGCCAACAGGAGCAGGACTTCCTGCGCAAGGCCGCAGACATCTTCAGGTGAGCAGTGCTATTTTAGTGTCCTTTAAATACTTTTAAAGTATTTATTAATATTTATAATTAGGTTTTATTTTATATTTTTTTTTATAGTTTTTATTTAAATTTTGGTAAATGTGATTGTCAATTAAAAATTATTATTTTTTTTTTTATATATAGCTTTAATTTAAGTTTGAGTTTCTTTTAGTACTTAAATTTACTTAATTTAGGTTTTCATATAATATTTATTATTGAATGAAAACTGAAAACTAGTGCTGTCAATCGATTAAAATAAATTAACTAATTAATCCCATTTTTTCCCACTTAACATTAAAGTTTTTAAATATACTTTTATATTGCAGTAATTTCACATTCAATCTTCAAATTAATGTAGAAACAACATAAATACAGTATATTTTTAATATTTGTTTAATGGCATCTTTTTTTATTACTGAAGGCAAGTATCACTGATACCAATACTACATACACTACTGATGTCTCTAGGATTTCCCCCCCCCTAATATTTAACCATTGACTAGCCATTCAACATTACAGTATAATTGAGA